TTTTTTTAATGAAATTTGGAATTTATGCATTAAATATCAATCTCTACCATAATATAAAAACAATGTACATGAAACAGCACCCCTTCTAGTCCTTATAGTGGCATTTTATAAGTCATTAGTGCACTAAGGAGTCCTTAGCAGTGTTTAGACGTATCGCCTGTTTTGCAACACACTGAGCTAATTTTCCGGCGGCATGTTTTTCAAGAGCGTGAACGACCATTTAATTTTGAGGGAGGGGGTTCAATCTGATTTTTTGGTGGTACCACGCAAGCATCAAATAAAGGCAAAAACTCCTACTCAGAATTTGTTTCATTTCTCCCTGATCAAAATATTTTTCTTCAATGTTGGGAATCAGAAATTGATAATATTTTTAAGAAACAAGTTCGGTGACACCAAAAAATCAGATTGAACCCCCTCCCTCAAAATTAAATGGTCCGTTCACGCTCTTGAAAAACATGCCGCCGGAAAATTAGCTCAGTGTGTTGCAAAACAGGCGATACGTCTAAACACTGCTAAGGACTCCTTAGTGCACTAATGACTTATAAAATGCCACTATAAGGACTAGAAGGGGTGCTGTTTTTTAAACTAGAGGCTCTAAAGAGCCTCCTGTGTCGCTCACCTTGGTCTATGTGCATATCAAACAAAGAACACTCTCCAACATTGTAGACGAGAATAGAATTCATGACAAAAATCTCTATTTTGTTGATCTTATATTACTGATCTTTTAGACTGTTTAGTTTCTCTCTATCTTCTTTAGTTTTTGCTCAAAACACAAAAGAGGGTAAAAAAATTCTCATTTAAGGGCAATCACTCCTATGAAGAGTGACAGTCTAGTAACTATATCGGCAAATTTAACTTTTTAATTGATCTTGCCTTGCTGATCATTTTTGTGATTTAAAGTGTCTATTTATCTATTATAATTTAAATCATATAAGGCATAACGGAAAAAAATTGTTTCTCTCTAAATATCATAGTTTTCATGATAATAGGCAAAAATGAAAAAAAAATGGTAAAATTTGTCATTTATGGGCAATAACTCCTATAAGAATTTGTCTAACAGTTTTGGACAATTGGTACAGCTCATTATTCTGAACATTTTTGCTCCTTTCAGATTTTCTCTGTTTATAACGGTTCAAAAAATAATAAGACAAAACTTGCATTTTACCCCTATGTTCTATTTTTAGCCATGTCGCCCATGTTGGTTGGTAAGCGGGGTCATCGGACACATTTTTTTAAACTAAACACCCTAGTAATGATTGTGGCCAAGTTTGGTTATATTTGTCTCAGCAGTTTCAGAGGAGACGATTTTTATAAAAGATTACAAAAATTTACAAAAAATTGTTAAAAATTGACTATAAAGGGCAATAACTCCTTAAGGGCTTAAGGGGTCAATTGACCATTTTGATCATGTTGATTTATTTGTAGATCTTATTTTGCTGAACATTATAGCTGCTTACAGTTTATCTCTATCTATAATAATATTCAAGATAATAACCAAAAACTGCAAAATTTCCTTAAAATTACCAATTCAGGGGCAGCAACCCTACAACGGGTTGTCTGATTTGTAATAAAATTTCAGGGCAGATAGATCTTGACCTGATGAACAATTTTACCCAGTCAGATTTGCTCTAATGCTTTGGTTTCAGAGATATAAGCCAAAATCTACATTTTACCCCTATGTTCTAGTTTTAGCCATGGCGGCCATCTTGGTTGGCGGGCCAGGTCATCGGACACATTTTTTAAACTAGATACCGCAATGATGATTGTCGCCAAGTTTGGTTAACTTTGGCCAAGTAGTTTCATAGAAGATTTTTGTAAAAGTTAACGACGGATGACGACGACGGACGACGGACGACGGACGCCAAGTGATGAGAAAAGCTTACTTGGGCCTTTGGACCAGGTGAGCTAAAAAAGCATAGTAAAATCTTCATTAAGGCAAAGTATAAGAAAATTCTATCTCAGGAAATATATACCGCTAATCCACCTTAAATAATTTTCAAGAGCATTTTATGGAATAAGCATTATTTTTTAAGATAAGGAATAATACCCTAAAAATTTATAGTATACAGAAATTAAGGACGCCCAAATATATGGCAAGCCGTTGAGGAATTTATTCCCTTTTTTTAATATTGATTTATATTGGAAAATCATTTTTAATATTAAAAAATGATATGATTTTCTAATATTCTAATCAAAATTTCCTAATGACAGCAGTGCTTATTATCAATTTTAAGAAATTAATTTGCAGATTAATTAGTGCAATATAGCATCATATTTTTTCAACCGCTCTCTCAACATGGGAAGGAAGTGATGATGCCCCTAAACGCACAAATGAGGTTCACTAAAACCAAAGATTTTGACGGAAATGCAACAACCTGGAAAGTGGTCTATTAGTGTGATTTCACGGTCTTGCCAATCTCTTTTTATATATGTCTCTTGTAGAACTAAGTGTTCTGGTTTTTTTTGCTGTTTCTCAATATCTATTATATTAGTATTCAAAAAATTAAAACACTGTAATTTTCATGCGTCCGAAGTTCTTTTCTGGAATAACCTTCTTAAAGAACGCTCAAAGCTAAATATTTGAAAGCCAAAGCTGTATAAGAACCAAAACAGTTGAGCTATGAATCACCAAAATGGACCTAAACATAAAAGCCAAAATCTTTGTCTCAGGCAATTGAAACCTAATAATTTCTTAATAATTTTATAATTTATAAACAGACAATTTAAGAAAGGTTTGTTATAAATCATGTCAATACCCAAGTATTGATTACTGATACCCTTGGGGACTGGTAGTCCACATGCTGTGGTATCAACCCAAAATAATAAAGAAAAAATTTCAAACTGGATTGTCCTATTTTTCTGAAAATTACATAGAGATAAATCTGAACTGTAGATCATTTTACTCTTGCTATCTGCTTTAATTATTGAAACGAAGTCACACCAAAAAGTACATTTTACCCTAGGCCATGTTCTTTTTTAAGCATCAGTGGCCAAGTCTTTCTAAACTAGATACTCTAAGAAGCATTCAGATAAAGTCAGGTAAATTTGGCCTTGTAGTTTCACAGGAGATTTTTTTTAAGGTTAGGATGAAGGATGCTTAGTGTTGGTATTAAGCTACTTTTCAGCATTTTTTGTTTATTTTGTATGAAAATGAATGTTTTTTTTTTGTTCAACTGATACACAATACACAATCAATAGGCAATACACAATCTGTTTCTTGAACTGCTTTTTCAAATCAACATGTGACACAAGTCCCACAACATACATGTATACACACTGGCCTCTAAAAACACTGCAAAGGATCTCATTTGTGTAGAGAGCACAATGTAGCACAAAAGTGAATAAAAAAACCACAAAGGACCTAACCAACATGTTTTTATCCCATATGTATGCAGTGTGTGTCTTTCGAAATATTAACTTGAATCCATTTAAACAATTTCTACAAGTTCATAAGTTGTGGCTATCACTTTTGTCTCGTTGATCAGAAATAAAATAGTCAAAAACTAAACTTAACCGAGTGATTGAAATAAAATCATGTGAAACACTCCTAATTTCAGAAACCTCTTTCCTGTTACTGGCATTTGCCGTCCAGATTTAATCTAAATTTTTAGATCTAATAATTGAGCAGATACACCTGCTTGCAGAAAAAAAAACCAGTAAATGAAATACCAAAATTAAAAATGAATGAGTATTTTATGTTTCATAAATTAAGTGTTAAAATCAAAAAAGCTTTTGTCAAACATTACTTCATTATTATCTGGAAAGAAGAAAGTTAAATGTTTAAGGTAACTAAGGGGCATAACTCTTGAACAGTTATTCTCAAAACCATCAACATGGACCTTCAACAGAACAGTTTTTCGATGATCTAATAATTGAGTTGATACACCTGCTTGCAGAAAAAAAAAACAGTAAATGAAATACCAAAATTAAAAATGAATGAGTATTTTATATTTCATAAATTAAGAGCTAAAATCAAAAAAAGCTTTTGTCAAACATTACTTCATTATTATCTGGAAAGAAGAAAGTTAAATGTTTAAGGTAACTAAGGGGCATAACTCTTGAACGTTTATTCTCAAAACCATCAAAATGGACCTTGGAACAGTTTTTCGATGATCAATATTATGTACAATTTCAAAGGATTGGGTCAAGTGGTACTATAATTATCATTCAGAAATCAAAGAAATAACATTTTCAAGGGCAAGCCGCAAATCTTGAACAGAAATTGTGAAAATTAAAGAACCTTTGTGAGCACGCTCACATACCCCATGCCCCCACATTGTCACTGGACAAACAAAATCTCACCAGATTCCTAAGTTCAAAGACTCATAACTCTACAAAAGTCAACTGATAAAAAATTTCTTGTGGATATGCACATTTATATATTATGTCCTCATTACCTACAAAGTTTCATGAAATTCTGTTGTGTGGTTTCAGAGGAGTTGCGATGACAAACTGTTGCAGTAGTATATTGAAGCCACTAAGTTCAAAGGGGCATAACTCCTAGAAAAAAAATTGAATCATAATTTCCTGTCGATATGCACATCTACATAGTATGTCCTTATTATCTACAAAGTTTCATGAAATTCTGTTGTGTGGTTTCAGAGGAGTTGCGATGACAAACTGTTGCAGAAGTATATTGAGGCCAATAAGTTCAAAGGGGCATAACTCCTAGAAAAAAAATTGAATCATATTTTCATGTCGATATGCACATCTACATAGTATGTCCTTATTATCTACAAAGTTTCATGAAATTCTGTTGTGTGGTTTCAGAGGAGTTGCGATGACAAGAACAGGACTGACGGACGGACGGACGGACGGGTCAAAAACATTATACCCTCCGCAACTTTGTTGCGTGGGGTATAAAAATCAAAATCTAACTTGACCTATACTGTTATGGTCCATGACATTCTCAAATAAATTTCATTAACGAGACTATTCATATAATATTACTATAACTTCTATCCCTTAAATATTTAGGCTTAAACAAAACTAACACAATATTCATGTTGCTGATAACCCAGACAGCTCATCTGGACACCAGATTTTAATGATTTTTAAAACAATATCCATGTATACAAATTGTAAGCATATATACATAAAAGATAATCATAAAAATTATAATTGATGAAATGCTTCTATGCTGTATTTTAAGTTAAATACCAAATAATGACAAAATCTCTATCATCATCAATCTCCCTGCCAGGAACAACAATGACAACCAACTAAAGCAAGTGAACTTGATCAAACTTCTTTAAAAACTGAATTTGTAGTGGGAAAATGTTGGAAACCTGAGTCCAAAACCTAATGCTCTGAAGACTGTCTCAGGAAGTATACTTTAGACAGTATAAAAAAATGTATAATTATTCAGAATAAAACAATTGATAAAAATATAAATTATATCAAACTCAGCTAAAAAATAAAAGAAGAATGTGTCCGAGGACACGATGCCCTTGCTCAAGCTTTGCAATTTTAAAAATTGTAAAAAGGAGCATAAATCTAGAAAAGTAAGTGACTCACTGTCCAAATTTACAACTTTCCAACTGATAAAGGGGCATTACTCTTAAAAGTTAGTGCGGAAACAAAAATGGGACAAAAGGAACAACAAAAGGACAGAAGGACGCCAAGGGTAACACTTAATGCCTCCTTTCCCTATGGCAGGGGCATAAAAAAACGAAAAAAGTCGGAAAAGATATATATTTAACAACGGTGAAAGCCAAAATATACATTTCTCATTTTTTTCTTTTTTTTTTAGATTCTCCATTCTTAACTTCTGGAAGTGTTTTGACTAGACACGGACCATTATTAATATATCTAAAAGAGTAGGTCTTCAAATAAAATTGGTCCATTTCAATTCATTTTCAAAGTACCAATTAAATCTAGCCACAGGGGAAAAAAAATTAAAGAACCTTAGTGAGCGCGCTCACATACCCCACATCCCCACATTGTCATTGGAGAAATAAAATATGTGTAAGAAAAAAAAATTGTATAAGAAAAAAAAATTGAATCATAATTTCCTGTCAATATGCACATGTACATAGTATGTCCTTATTATCTACAAAGTTTCATGAAATTATGTTGTGTGGTTTCAGAGGAGTTGCGATGACAAACTGTTGCAGAAGTACATTGAAGCAAATAAGTTCAAAGGGGCGTAACGCCTAGAAAAAAATTGAACCGTAATTTCCTGTCGATATGCACATCTACATAGTATGTGCTTATTATCTAAAAAGGTTTCATGAAATTCTGTTGTGTGGTATCAGAGGAGTTGCGATGACAAACTGTTGCAGTAGTACATTGAAGCAAATAAGTTCAAAGGGGCGTAACTCCTAGAAAAAAAATTGAACCGTAATTTCCTGTCGATATGCACATCTACATAGTATGTCCTTATTATCTAAAAAGGTTTCATGAAATTCTGTTGTGTGGTATCAGAGGAGTTGCGATGACAAACTGTTGCAGTAGTACATTGAAGCAAATCAGTTCAAAGGGGCGCAACTCCTAGAAAAAAAATTTAATCGCAATTTCCTGTCGATATGCACAACTACATAGTATGTCCTTATTATCTAAAAAGGTTTCGTGAAATTCTGTTGTGTGGTTTGAGAGGAGTTGCGATGACAAGAAACAGGACTGACGGACTGACGGACGGACGGGTCAAAAACATTTTACCCTCCGCAACTCGTTGCGTGGGGTATAATAATGAATACAATCTGAACTATGAACACAAAACAAAACTATACATACCAAAAACCAGTTCAGTATCAATATGCATGACAAAAAAATTGTCAAGAATGGACATGAGTAGAGCTACCTGAATATATCCTTTGGTTTTAATGGTAAAAAGAGAGATTTTAAAATTCAAAATAAGTTATCTATAACTTACAATCTTGTTGACAAAGGAGAATCTTTACACTATTTTTTTTTTTTTGTTAAAAATTATAAACATTTTCTCAAACATACACAAAAATTGTCTGAATTACATTCTTTACTGGTACAGTCACCCAATCATTTTCATGCAGCCACAGTTAAAGTTACCTGAAAAAGAAATATTCATTCTTAAACATATCTGTCAAAACTATATTTAATGCAAAAGAATAATTAACTGGGCATTACAATTATGATGCATATAACATTTCTTTACCTAGCTTTAAAGTGACTCGTGGACATAACTTTTAGACTACCAGTCTTTGTTGGCAAAAAAAGATGAAAAACAAGTCGTTGTTTGTTGTCTATCATATTTTTTGTTTTGTTTATTGTTTTATCCTATATCAAGTCATTGGTTTTCTCATCTGAATTCTTTCACATTTTGTCATGTTGGGGCTTTATATAGCTTACAATACAGAATAGGTTTTAAAATGGCATTCTATAGTTGCTAACATCCTTGTCATGTGGTTTCTAGTTGATAAATGTCTCATTGGCAATCATACTATATTTAATTTCTATATAGTGGGATTAATTTAGATAAAAAAAAAAACAGAGAGAAGATATCCAAAATTCAAATCTTTGACTTCCCTTATTTGTATCTTGATACCCCCTTCCAAATTATACATACACTTATAACATGAAAAATCTAGTGACATGCTCCAAGTTGAATAGTTCATAAATCTATGTACTGATTCTTACCATAAAAGTCAGCTCCAATGGCCATTCCCAACCTCAACCCTTACAGACAAGCTGTGATGTTAACCTGAAATATAAAATGCTTCATCATCAAAAATTGTTTTAACTGATCATTTTTGGTATACTTATATATATTTAATATAAATACTGGTAGTCTATAAATGTGTAATAGATGTTGAGAACATGTGGATTAGACAGCTATCCAGCAACTCAGCAAACTTTTATATAATTACATCAGATCCTAAGATTTACTTATATAATGGTAGCTGATAAACGAAAGAGTAGACTTCTGACCAACTCCTAAAAGCCTAGAGAGAATTTTCCAAAGAAATTTTATAATACATTTGGTTTTTTTTTTTTCTCTTCAAAACTGGAATAACATTCTGGTACTTACCTTCCTTTTAGATGTATTAGACCCCAAAGTTTTATAATCCAACACCATGAAAATCATGTCACAGAAAGGTTACCTAAAAAGGAATTAAAATGGATACATTATTATATATTTTATAAATTCATTTCTGTCAACATAAACATTTACTAAATATTGTTTTGATTTCTTACTTCATGTTCACAATAGTATAACATCAACACCTTAATTTGTAAAATTAATATATAAAGATGGAAAACTAAAAGGAAGTCAAAGAATAATGATTTGAATATCAACTGCATTAAAATCTGCATATTTTACAGAGTTATCTCCCATTGAATTAACAAATCTTGGGAGCTCTATTCCAATCTAAGGATTTACTCTTGCTATTTTTTTAGAAAATCTTGTTAATATACTTGGTACAAATTGTATCTTTAAATATTAAACTGGTAAAAATAATTCTCGGTCGGGTAGATATTTTCACAATTTTTAGTTTTCAGTTTTCTAACTTGGAAAATATGTTCTAACCCTTCACATGGCTACTGTGAGAAAAACATTTATAATGTCTAATACAGTTATCTTTTAATTATTTTTGTTTTAATTATCCTGATAAGAATTCAACTGGCCAATGTACATGTAATGGTGTATAATATCATACCATTAGTATTTGCAGAACTTTCTTAAAATGGTGTTGATACTTTATAAAGGTATTTAAGTTGATTTCTTCTGTGTGTTTTATCCCATTTAAATCAATAGTCAATACAATATTTTATTTCTTTAAGACAAACAATTACACACATAGGACATATAAAGACCATCAGAAATAATAAATACAGTATTGTAACCTATATATCTCTGTAAGAACTCTGTAATGGAAATAAATAATAAAGATTAGTGATGTTTGAAAAATTGTTGTCACTTCTATCAAAGCAGGCTCTCTTAAAAGCTTACAGTAGATTTAGCTTCATCTGTGATAAAAATAAAATATATAGAGTATAGAGTTATGGAAATCTATATGCCACTCTTCCAGGTCTGTTAGCCATATTCAAGGTCGACAACTGAAACATCCTCTCTAAGCTGAATCTGCAAAAATCCAAAATTACAAATTAAACATCTGTGAGTGAACTCTGAAATGAAATATAAATATACTAGTCAACAAAAGTAACGATACACAAGTTTGAACTCCAATTTATCATAAAATATCATAAAATAGGAAAAACTGTTAAATTATCCAATGAAAAACATTCATTTGCAAAGTAAATACATATGATTAAAAGAATCTGACCAATATACATGAAAATATATAAAATGAAATAAATCAACCAATCTTACTATTAAATACGGAACCATAGCTCTTAATTAGGTCCTTATGATATATTATAAAGACCTAAGAGCTACTGTTCCGCAGCTACCTTACCATCAATTCTTTGAAGAAGCCTATATAAAAAATAAATATATATACAACAATATACATGAAAATATATCAAATGAAATAAATCGACCAATCTTACTATTAAATACGGAACCATAGCTCTTAATTAGGTCCTTATGATATATTATAAAGACCTAAGAGCTACTGTTCCGCAGCTACCTTACCATCAATTCTTTGAAGAAACCTATATAAAAAATAAATATATATACAACAATATACATGAAAATATATCAAATGAAATAAATCGACCAATCTTACTATTAGGTGCGGAACCATAGCTCTTTATTAGGTCCTTATATATTATAAAGACCTAAGAGCTACGGTTCCGCAGTTACCTTACCATCAATTCTTTGAAGAAATCTATATAAAAAATAAATATATATACAACAATATCCATGAAAATATATAAAATGAAAAAAATCAACCAATCTTACTATTAGGTGCGGAACCGTACCTCTTAATTAGGTCCTTATGATATATTATAAAGACCTAAGAGCTACGGTTCCGCAGTTACCTTACCATCAATTCTTTGAAGAAACCTATTCAAAAAATAAATATATATACAACCATATACACATGAAAAAATATGAAATGAAATAAATCAACCAATCTCACTATTAGGTGCGGAACCATAGCTCTTAATTAGGTCCTTCTGATATATTATAAAGACCTAAGAGCTCAATTCCGCAGCTACCTTACCATCAATTCTTTGAAGAAACCTATATAAAAAATAAATATATATACAACCATATACACATGAAAATATATAAAATGAAATAAATCAACCAATCTTACTATTAGGTGCGGAACCATAGCTCTTAATTAGGTCCTTATGATATATTATAAAGACCTAAGAGCTACGGTTCCGCAGCCACCTTACCATCAATTCTTTGAAGAAACCTATATAAAAAATAAATATATATACAACAATATACATGAAAATATATCAAATGAAATAAATCAACCAATCTTACTATTAGGTGCGGAACCATAGCTCTGAATTAGGTCCTTATGATATATTATAAAGACCTAAGAGCTACGGTTCCGCAGCTACCTTACCATCAATTCTTTGAAGAAACCTATATAAAAAATAAATATATATACAACAATGTACATGAAAATATATAAAATGAAATAAATCGACCAATCTTACTATTAGGTGCGGAACCATAGCTCTTTATTAGGTCCTTATGATATATTATAAAGACCTAAGAGCTACGGTTCCGCAGTTACCTTACCATCAATTCTTTGAAGAAATCTATATAAAAAATAAATATATATACAACAATATCCATGAAAATATATAAAATGAAAAAAATCAACCAATCTTACTATTAGGTGCAGAACCGTACCTCTTAATTAGGTCCTTATGATATATTATAAAGACCTAAGAGCTACGATTCCGCAGTTACCTTACCATCAATTCTTTGAAGAAACCTATTCAAAAAATAAATATATATACAACCATATACACATGAAAAAATATGAAATGAAATAAATCAACCAATCTTACTATTAGGTGCGGAACCATAGCTCTTAATTAGGTCCTTCTGATATATTATAAAGACCTAAGAGCTCAATTCCGCAGCTACCTTACCATCAATTCTTTGAAGAAACCTATATAAAAAATAAATATATATACAACCATATACACATGAAAATATATAAAATGAAATAAATCAACCAATCTTACTATTAGGTGTGGAACCATAGCTCTTAATTAGGTCCTTATGATATATTATAAAGACCTAAGAGCTACAGTTCCGCAGTTACCTTACCATCAATTCTTTGAAGAAACCTATATAAAAAATAAATATATATACAACAATATACATGAAAATATATAAAATGAAATAAATCAACCAATCTTACTATTAGGTGCGGAACCATAGCTCTTAATTAGGTCCTTCTGATATATTATAAAGACCTAAGAGCTACGGTTCTGCAGCTACCTTACCATCAATTCTTTGAAGAAACCTATATAAAAAATAAATATATATACAACCATATACACATGAAAATATATAAAATGAAATAAATCAACCAATCTTACTATTAGGTGCAGAACCATAGCTCTTAATTAGGTCCTTATGATATATTATAAAGACCTAAGAGCTACGGTTCCACAGCTACCTTACCATCAATTCTTTGAAGAAACCTATATAAAAAATAAATATATATACAACAATATACATGAAAATATATCAAATGAAATAAATCAACCAATCTTACTATTAGGTGCGGAACCATAGCTCTTAATTACGTCCTTATGATATATTATAAAGACCTAAGAGCTACGGTTCTGCAGTTACCTTACCATCAATTCTTTGAAGAAATCTATATAAAAAATAAATATATATACAACAATATCCATGAAAATATATAAAATGAAAAAAATCAACCAATCTTACTATTAGGTGCGGAACCGTAGCTCTTAATTAGGTCCTTATGATATATTATAAAGACCTAAGAGCTACGGTTCCGCAGTTACCTTACCATCAATTCTTTGAAGAATTTACCTATTCAAAAAATAAATATATATACAACCATATACACATGAAAAAATATGAAATGAAATAAATCAACCAATCTTACTATTAGGTGCGGAACCATAGCTCTTAATTAGGTCCTTATGATATATTATAAAGACCTAAGAGCTCAATTCCGCAGCTACCTTACCATCAATTCTTTGAAGAAACCTATATAAAAAATAAATATATATACAACAATATACATGAAAATATATAAAATGAAATAAATTAACTAATCTTACTATTAGGTGCGGAACCATAGCTCTTAATTAGGTCCTTATGATATATTATAAAGACCTAAGAGCTACTGTTCCGCAGCTATCTTACCATCAATTCTTTGAAGAAACCTATATAAAAAATAAATATATATACAACAATATACATGAGATTATATAAAATGATATAAATCGACCAATCTTACTATTAGGTGAGGAACCATAGCTCTTAATTACGTCCTTATGATATATTATAAAGACCTAAGAGCTACGGTTCCGCAGTTACCTTTCCATCAATTCTTTGAAGAAACCTATTTAAAAAATAAATATATATACAACCATATACACATGAAAATATATAAAATGAAATAAATAAACCAATCTTACTATTAGGTGCGGAACCATAGCTCTTAATTAGGTCCTTATGATATATAATAAAGACCTAAGAGCTATGGTTCCGCAGCTACCTTACCATCAATTCTTTGAAGAAACCTATATAAAAAATAAATATATATACAACAATATCCATAAAAATATATAAAATGAAAAAAATCAACCAATCTTACTATTAGGTGTGGAACTGTAGCTCTTATTTAGGTACTTATGATATATTATAAAGACCTAAGAGCTATGGTTCCGCAGTACCTTACCACCAATTCTTTGAAGAAACCTATATAAAAAATAAATATATATACAACAATATACATGAAAATATATAAAATGAAATAAATCGACCAATCTTACTATTAGGTGCGGAACCATGGCTCTTAATTAGGTCCTTATGATATATTATAAAGACCTAAGAGCTACGGTTCCGCAGCTACCTTACCATCAATTCTTTGAAGAAACCTATATAAAAAATAAATCTATATACAACCATATATACATGAGAATATATAAAATGAAATAAATCAACTAATCTTACTATATGGTGCGGAACCATAGCTCTTAATTAGGTCCTTATGATATATTAAAAAGACCTAAGAGCTACGGTTCCGCAGCTACCTTACCATCAATTTTTTGAAGAAACCTATATAAAAAATAAATATATATACAACCATATACACATAAAAATATATAAAATGAAATAAATCAACCAATCTTACTATTAGGTGCGGAACCATAGCTCTTAATTAGGTCCTTATGATATATTATAAAGACCTAAGAGCTACGATTCCAGAGCCACCTTACCATCAATTCTTTGAAGAAACCTATATAAAAAATATATATATATACAACAATATACATGAAAATATATAAAATGAAATAAATCAACTAATCTTACTATTAGGTGCGGAACCATAGCTCTTAATTAGGTCCTTATGATATATTATAAAGACCTAAGAGCTACTGTTTCGCAGCTACCTTACCATCAATTCTTTGAAGAAACCTATATAAAAAATAAATATATATACAACAATATACATGAAAATATATAAAATGAAATAAATCAACTAATCTTACTATTAGGTGCGGAACCATAGCTCTTAATTAGGTCCTTATGATATATTATAAAGACTTAAGAGCTACGGTTCCACAGCTACCTTACCATCAATTCTTTGAAGAAACCTATATAAAAAATAAATATATATACAACAATATACATGAGAATATATAAAATGATATAAATCGACCAATCTTACTATTAGGTGCGGAACCATAGCTCTTAATTACGTCCTTATGATATATTATAAAGACCTAAGAGCTACGGTTCCGCAGTTACCTTACCATCAATTCTTTGAAGAAACATATTTAAAAAATAAATATATATACAACCATAAACACATGAAAATATATAAAATAAAATAAATCAACTAATCTTACTATTAGGTGCGGAACCATAGCTCTTAATTAGGTCCTTATGATATATTATAAAGACCTAAGAGCTCCTGTTCCGCAGCTACCTTACCATCAATTTGTTTGAAGAAACCTATATAAAAAACAAATATATATACAACAATATACACATGAAAAAATATAAAATGAACTAAATCAACCAATCTTACTTTTAGGTGC